GGCGACAGATGGGCCCTTCTGTTCCCAAATTTCTTCATGCCAAATTTCTTCAAACCCAAAAGAAAGGTGAGAAAACACAGAGCTCCTGGAGGCTAAAAGCATAATTCCTGTTCACAAATCATTTCAGGTATTTTGCCTTTCATTATAAACCAGAATTAACCCAAATCTTCAAAAGAGCAAGATATTCTTTCTTCATATGTGTTGACTCTCAGCACCAGTGTTGCCTATAGCTACTGGGAAATACATCCATGCACTCAGGTCTAGGTACCTGAGTCTAAGATCAGAGATCAAGAGAACACCTCTGAGTAAATGGTAAAAAAAAACCAAAACCACCAACCAAACAAAAACTCCACAGAAAATACTTTCAAACAGACTGAACTAATAAACTCAATATTCTTATGTTAAATAGTTAAATTTTGCATTCTGCTTTACCAACTGAAAGTATGAAAAGTAGGGGTATTTTTTAAAAAAAAAATAAATTTCCTGTCTATAAATGGTTACAGTCCATTCATCCTTCTCTGCTTCCTCTTTATCCTTCTTTGTCATTTTGCTCCAATTGTTGTCTACTTTTGCTTTCTTCTACTCAAAATACATGAGACTTCAGGACCTACCAAAAGATGTTTTTAAATTTCCCTGAATGTCTAAAACAGCATCATTTCTGTCTGTCTCTTTTTCTGCAAGATCAAATATGTCAATAAAAATGTCTGTTAAGAACTGTTTTCTTCTGTATATATCACCATCTCTTCACTTGAGATAACTGGTTTTATAAAGGTCTTAAAGTCTCATGGTGACCAAAATTCAGTTCTCTACCCCAATCAACAAGAGGCATCTTTCTCTGTGAAAAGGTGCAATACATCACACATATAACTACAACTACAATTCAAAAAGAAAATTATTTCAGTTAGTATTTCCCAAGGATCATTTATGCATTGTTGTACTCTGTTGCCCTTGTTTCCTATTAATTTATGCCTTCTGTACCATATAAACTAAGAAAGCAGTATCAGCTACCTACATCAGCTTCACCCTTTTCAGTTAATCAGCTTTAATACTTCTTTCCCAGTTAATAAGTCTACAATAGTTTCTTTTGCTCTAAATATATTATTTATATTTTCTCAACTACAGAAGCCATTGAGAAAAATTGCACATTGCTTAATCCAGGAAAACTGGTTTAATAACAGATGCAAACTTGCATTCCATAAATCCTGAAGTAATACTGAAACTTGAACATTAGACTAAACAAATATACCTCATATTTTAAAGATTAAAAATGTTTATAAGCATCTATGCAAGAAAATTAGGGTTTTGTTGGGTTATAAATTTGTCAGTATACTAGATCAGAAAACACAAGTTCTAGAAACAGAAAATTAATATCTGCTATGTTTTGTGTAACAACAGCAAACAGACACATTCTTCAACAGTTCCAACTAGAAAAGTTAATTTCAGATTTAGCTGTAGCAACTCTGCATAGCTTAACCTCTAACACTCAGTAAAGTAGTTCTGAGAAGCCTTTACAACTATTTTAGATTTTGCCTTCACAACTGCTTTAGTTTTTAACAATATTCTAAAACATAATTAGGACTTCTTACGAAAGTACGAATTTTCTTTACACTAGTAGTTTTGCTTTGAATTGGAAATACTTATATATTTAAAGAAAAAGTATGTAGTCTGATTGCTCAGTGGTCGGCTGATGCAGAACTTGAAAGAGAGAAGTTACTCCTATTTCCAGATGAAAGTCTCATCACCCTTGCTAAGATCTATAATATAGGAAGCAGAACGGAAAAAAAAAAAAAAAAATTCTATCTGGAAAATGACATACAAATGTCTTCTCTGAGTAACTTTAGAGGTAGAAATATCTGTTAAATCTGAAATAATCAAAACCAATTCCTTGTTTTACAAGCTCAGAAAAAAGTCAACACGGCTGATGTTACAGCCACAATCTCTGTCAATATACAGCTGACACCAAGGTGTATCAGAGCCAACAGGAGCAGCAGTAAGATGGATGAAGCCATGTTACTGACTTTCTTTAAAGCCAACCTTTTCCTTTTTTTCACATTACAAACCTTACATTATTTTTTTCTGGTTGTTTCCAGTTCTTCTGGTGACTTCTCCTCGGTCCAGTCATATACCTTTATACTGGCAGACATGGCTCAAGAATATATAATGTTTTAATTGCACTAAAACAACATGAGTCACAACTTTGACTAAAATGTTAATATGTGAGCATCCTTGAGAAAGAAAAATCATTCGAGAGTTCAAGACAATAGTTGAAAGATTCACAGAACTCATGCAGTCAGAAAAAATCCTTCCTTATTTAGCAGCATGTCACAGTACACACATAAAAAAACATGAACCAATTCCTGAGAATTACCACTGTGGATCAATCCAAAGTTACATATGCTACAAATTAGATTGCAATCAGTTGAATTTAAGTAGTCTGAGGAACTGCTAAAAATCAGAACCAACACTGCAAAATAAACCTGACCAAAATAAAGATTAGGTAGTGGATGGGAGGATGAGTGGGGAGGGAGGGTGAGAATTTCATTTGAGAGTGAAAGGGGAAAAAATCAATTTTTACGCTACTTACTCCTGTAGGTTGAAATATCAGTCCATCCACTTCATGGCTAACTTCTCTGGCAAAGCTTCCTTCCAGGAGCTGTAGAACAATAAGGAAAAGAAAACTTTTTTCCATAAAGAAATATTTCACTTAGAAGGCTGCACATCAAAGTGGATTATACGCTACTACTGCAATCATTTGCTAGTAAACTGCTTATTTATGGTTTGACGTTAGAGCCTGGGAAATGTCAACACAGAAAGCTTCAACACATTAAAAGTGTTTACAAAGAACACCCAAGGCTGAATCAAGTTTCAGGGAGGCAAATCCTTACAGTTTTAATCAAGTAAAATGTTTTTGCCCCAAAAAGAAATACTGACAAATCAAGTAGATTCTATATAAAAAAAGAGAAAGAAAAATTGGTTCTGCTATAGGACACCACAGTCATTTGTGGCACAATTAAAACACATCTGCCACTTTAACACACAAGTACCACTTCCTTTAAATTGAAACTATGTATTGAAAAATATTTCAGGGCATTAGTCAAAAATTAATGTTTGGCAGACTCACTAACTAAGGCGTAACTCAGTAACACTACTGTAGGACAAATGCCTGGATTAATCTGGATCTTGAATATTCTGGTTTATGTTTTCAAAGACTGAATTCTATGAGGAGGTGAATACATTCATCAAGATGCATTTACAAGAGAAAAAACATCTAACTAAACAAACCAATTAAACCAGCTAGTCAACAGTTTTGAGAACTGATGATATGGATCCATGTTAAATTATGACCTGGGCAAGGAAAAGCAAGTAATGAATGAGCACTAGAATTGAGAAGTAACATCAGAAATTAGAATTACCAAAATACCTCTCAATTAATTTCAATTTATGTTTTACTGTAGAGATGAAGAATCTGTCCTGAAGTTGCAGGTGCTTTTACTAGCATTTGAAAAAAAGTCATCACAACTTCGGCATAAGTAATCATATGATCATAAAATACAGCAAACACAACTCAGTAAATCACAGTCAGTTTTAAAAGCACTATTTTGGCCTAGAGTGTTAATTTTTTACCATTGCTTTTCTATAGTCAGCTTAATGACCCATTGACTAAATTATTCAAATGAAGTCAGTAAAGGACAGAAGTACGAAAGGAGTTGAGGATTAACATTCATATCTTACTATGGGCTGTACAAATCAAAGTAATGCACTTACACATTTCATGGATCAAGAGCCTGATGGCCAAATATTTAAAACAATAATAATTAACATGATATTTCAGTTAAACCTGCATCTGTTTGCACAAAGTAATTGATCATTTTGCTATAAAAAGCCCTAGCTTCTTCCCTTATCTACAGTCATTAGCATATTATAGTGTGCATATAGTGTGCCCAGGTGGCCAGGAAGGCCAACAGCATCCTGGCCTCTATCAAAAGTAGTGTGGCCAACAGGAGTGAGAGAGTGATCATGCCCCTGGACTCGGCACTGGGGATACCACAGCTTGAGCACTGGGTTCAGTTCTGGGCACCACCGTGTAAGAAAGACACTGAGGTGCTGGAAACAGGTCCAGAGAAGGGCAATAAAGCTGGTGAAGGGTCTGGGGAACATGTCTTCTGAGGAGCAGCTGAGGGAACTGGGATTGTTTAGTCTGGAGAAGAGGAGACTGAGAGGAGACCTTATCACTCTCTAAAACTACCTAAAAGGAGGTTGTAGTGCGGTGGGGGTTGGTCTCCCACGTTACTAGCAATAGGACAAGGGGAAACTGCCTCAAGTTACGCCAGGGGAGGTTTCAATTAGGTATTAGGAAGAATTTCTTTCCTGACAGAGTGGTGAGGCTGCCCAGGGGGGTGGTGGAGTCACCATCCCTGGCAGTGGTCAAAAAACAAGTAGATGTGGACATGGTTTAGTGGTCACGGTAGGTGTCAGGTGATGATTGAATTTGATGATCTTAGAGGTCTTTTCCAACCTTAATGATCCTATGATTCTCTATTTGTGTGTATAGCTGCATCAACAAATACAGCTTTCACTAGTCAACTTTTAGATACAATTTAACTGAAAAAACACACTCTATAATAGAGTGTGTATAAGAGTGGTAAAATGATTCTGTGTAAGAAATCATTCAGCAAAACACTATTTTTCAGTAGCAAAATCCCATACTTGGAATGTAACTTGTATTTATCTGTTACCATTTTGAAATGTACAGCTGAGGCTCACAGTGCAATGCATCCTCTACAAGATGGCTACATCACAAAATAACAGCAAAAAAAGAAAAATAATACCAAATTCTTTCATAAATTGTTAGTCTTTGCTTCATCAGAGCAATGAGTAGTACATGGGAAAAACAGTGAAACCAAGTACTCTGTGGATCACTTGCAAGTTTACTACTTGATTGCAAAACTAACTGGCCAGTGACAAATCTGCAATAAGAATATACTTCATATATACAAAAACACACTGGCAAAATTTCATTAATTCAAGTACCGAAGAACCCTCTCTGAATAATACTAACTATAAAACTTCAAAAATAAAATACAAACTTCAAACTAGCTGAGGCCATTCTTTTTATACATTACTAACTTATTAAAAGGCACTAACCAAAGTGGCTAACAGAAAACAACCACACTTCTATTTCTGCTTGTTTGAGGTTCTTAATAGAGCTATAATTTGAGGACATGGTTTCTCTGGCATTGGAGCTTACACAAATTGTATTATTAATTCTTTCCCAAAATAAAACTTAAGAACATAAACCAAATCTTTTTATTTGGACTGTGTGACTCACTTGAGTAAAGTATAAAATTTTTATCATGACCTGTTTTATCTGTACCTCTGTCCACTCTTGGTCTACACATAGTTTCAGAAAACTACATTAAAGCAGTATTACAGCTTCAAAAATGGAGAGGAGAACGTAAATTCAAAATTTATTATTTCAAAAATACATTCAGGTATTCCTTTTCAGTCATTACTCCACCAGAATTATAAAATGCAAAAGGAATCCCTCTTATCAACCTGATACTCAGTTTCAGACCTGAACTCATTCTCACTTTGGATGTCGACAGAGTTCTCACTAAGACACCTCAGACACCTCCTCCCAAGCATCAATCAGATATCAAAGAGAAAAGGATTTTTAAAATCAGAGCAAGCCTCAACAGATAACTAAACCTCTTTGTACTCCCAGTTATGCTGCTTTCTTTCTCAGTTATGCTACTTCCATTCTCATTAGGTCAACTACAAGTATTTAAATGATAACTCTCTAGCAAGGAATTTTTACTAGAAAGGATTAGCAATTTGGGGGAGAGTTAGACAGAAGTGAGAAGGAGGGAATGGAAATTTTCTCTGAGCTTCTTCCCATACACATTTTCTTGAGAATTAAACTGTTTAGAGGTTGTCTGAGCAGCAAAATATATACCCTTTGAATATTGCAGAAAATTTTGAATGACGGGAGAATAAGCAGAAAAATATCTGACATATAAGCAAGTATTTTCAACACTAAAGAAAATTGTTGATGTAAGGCTCTTAGGTTTCTGAGCTTAAAATTCAGATATCACGGTTCATCTTTTAAAAAAGGATGTTCAACTTTCCACACATGTTAAAATTTCTAATTAACTTGAACAGCACAGTCTTTTTTAATCGGCGCCATGATAAATGGAACACCTGCTTGACTGGGATGACTGCCAGGGACCACATAAACCACAATACATCTCAATGACATTTTATACAAGATGGGTAAATGATGCATGCAAGCCAGTTCTTCTGGCACGCCACTCCTTGTAGCCTCGTGGCATCTACAGCCACCTGTGAATCTCCTCATTCACTTCTTGCAACTTCCTGCTTCCCCATGAACATTACAATAATCCCTATACTCGTACTACAGTGTATTATTTACGACTTTTCCTTTTGCACTATCTAACAAAATCAAATTGAAAATTATTGCTACTTCTACTAATATTCCTCTAACGAAAAGAATGGTATAATCGTATGGAACTGAAAGAGTTCCAGGATTTCTCCTTGCTCTTTAACCCTGAGCTGAGGAGCAGCAGTATGTCACCAAAGCAGCACTAATAACCTGCTGAAGCTGATTTTGCTAAAACACTGACCCAGTCAGCAGTTCTTGAGCAGATAATAAAAAAAATCATGCTTTGGAAATCTTTTTATATTTCACAATAAAGAAATTCTTTGGCTCCTCCAGCAGGAAGAGGAGAAAATGTTGATGTATATAGACTCCACATAGTGCTAGCAGGTCTTTATTAATGTTTCTGTAATTCTGAGGCCAGCCACATGATTCTGAGGAGTTTCCAGAGGTTACTTTATTCATAAAGTAAAATAAATAAGTCCAGTAGGTATTCCTGTGCTTTTTGCTTCCCCTTAGGAAAAAACCTCATGGGAATGCACTATGCTGTGAGAGTTATGTAGATTCCAAAACTTAGTAATACTTCTGCAAAGTGATAATGAACATCTACAAAATAATCTGTCTGTCTTTGCCCACAACTATTATCACTACGCTATGACACAATACACAATTAATCCTGACCATAATCCCTATTCAAAACTCACACTGCTTATTAGCCTACTGGAATACTTGGAGATACAGAAAAAAAAAAAAATCTCTTTAAATTTTATAATACAAGACAGATATGTGTCTATTTTCCTTACCTTTTCAGTTTCAGAACTGCTACAAGCTTAATTCAGTTTCAAGTCAAGTTAGAGCAACTCTGCCTGCACCAGTCTCTAAGCAGTTTTTCAGAGCCACCTTCAAAGTACTGATCACCTATCTGTTCACTCCACAGCAAAAGCTGTAAAAGGGAACACATTTAACTCAAAAGTCAGTCAGTTAATTAGAATGTAAATCACCTTCAGACGTGAGCATACTGTCATTCCTAACTTCACAGAGCCAGCATCTTCACTGGCTTAGGTTTCAGCCCAACTTACACGACAACCCCTTCTGATAATGACAGCCCTCACCATCAAACTACAAAGTAATGTTCACATCCTGACAACTGTCAAGTTTTACAGACACAAGCTCAGAAATCTTTGTACAGATACTCCAGATTCTTCAGACTTATTATGCAGTCTTCATAAAAAGATTCAGAAGTTACCAGCACTAAT